CAGTGAAATTTAGTGGATGATGGGTGTGTTAGTCCTTTCTAAAATCCAGTTCTCTCACTGTATGTCTCAGTTCCCCATCTCAGAAATGGAGATAAAATCTGTTCATCGATCTCTGTAGTGTGAGGTTCTCAAATCCATTTCTGCCTGAATGAAGGTATTTAGGCACCTAATGGGTTTTCCCCATGGCACTTAAAACTCATTCATTTCAATGGGAGGAAGATGCCTCAAATGCTTTTAAAAATCCCACTAGCTTCCTATATACCTTGCACTATCTGACCCTAACTGACTTGCCCAAGGTCACGGAGAAGGTCTCTGGCAGAGGTTGGGAATTCAACTCTGATTTCCTGAGTCGTGTTCTTACCACAGTAGTATCAGTCATATGACTACCTGACTTTTCTGTATGTTTTCTGTGTCTTGCCATGAAAACACGTGAGATGGGAAATGGTGACCGAACCCTTTGAATGCCCTATGGGGAAAAGAGAAACATAACTTTGTCCTGCTCTTTCCGAAGGGATTTCTCGAAGTGTTGTCATCAAAGCTCTTTATCTAATTGGTCTCAGGGGTCCCAGCCAGCAACTGCAGATAAAAACATCAGAGACTACAACTATTACAGATGGGAATTGGAAAAGGAGGGGTAATGTGATGCAGGCAGTGATCACCCACATTTATCCCGGTATTCTCGTATACAGAAAGGCATAAATTAAGAAACCTAAATTGGAGAATCTCAACTCAGCAGCTTCAGGGTTTGTGTGATAATTTTGTTTCTTGTTCCAGGTATTTCTAAGCTCTCCGGTATCACAGGGCGTGAGGGGGAATGCCCAGCATATGACGGCAGGGGTGGGATTTTGAAGTGATAATGCTTTGAAGAGCTCGGTGGATAATCTTACTGTTTTGTTTTGTGTCATGAGATTGAAATCCCAGTTCCATTGTGCTAGGCAAAGCGGGTCACTGACCCAACATTTTCCAGTCTTGATGTAAAATGAGATTCAGATATATGGCTATGATAAAAAGAACAGTTTGTGGCCAACGAGTGCAATTTAAGACTGAGAAGCGTATGATAAATGTGAAACAGCGCGGTAATGCACAACGGCTGCCGTTCTTGAGTGTCTCACTGATAGCATGACACAGGTCAGGTCGGAAGCTGGATTTGAAGGCGGACAATGGGTTAAGAGATTTTTACAGGATACGAGTTTGTGAGGTTTGCTTTCACCTTAGCAGACACAATGCCACTGCCATTATCCTAGGAATCCCCATTAAAGAATATATTTAATTAGGGAAATGCTAGATTTCTTTCA